CAAACCCAAATATGAAAAACATATGATTTGTTAGGAGACAAATTAATGAAAATAGTACTCTCTCCCTCTCAAAACAACACGAACATTTAAAATAGATAATTAAAAAAAATAGTATTATACTGATAATTAGTGTAAAAGTATTTTTAAAAGATCAAAATGCTCATATTTTATATAATTATTATGAAAAAATAAGGATAGTTTTGTAAAAAGATGGAGAGTTGATTATATAAAAGAAAATAGAAATAAAACCATTATTTCGGAATTGACAAAAATGACAAAATAAAACTATTAATTTGGAGAAAAAGATATTATTTCAAAGGGAATGGAGTAATATAACTTATAATGAACGGATGAAATATTATTTTTTTTTCTCATAAATAGCTATAAAATACCCTCTTCGTTCCGCCACAAATGACCAATTTTCTTTTTTTCTACGTCCCACAAAAAGATAAGCTATTTCTATTTTTGGTAACTTTATCAATTTTAAACATACTTAACAAATATTAATCAATTTGATTAAACTTCTAACGTCTTATACGTAGGACCTATTCAAAACCCCTTTATTTCTATATCTGTCCTCAATTAACATAATTTTCTTATCTATATTTAAAACTCCTCATTTTTTATAAAACTAATTTATGGTAATGATAAATAAATAAAAATATTTGTATTATATAAAATTTTATTATCTACGAAATGATATCAATATTGCATATATTTTTTCAAAATATAATCTTAAAAAATTTTAAAATACCAATAATATTATTTATATAAAAAATAATAAACTAATATTATAACTTATTATTAATAACTTACTAATCTACACTATCTAAAAAATCGTATCCCTAATAAAAGAATTTATCCGTGACTGGACGGAGGGAGTATAAAAATAATACTTTAATAGCATCAATTTGTCATAACCAATAATGAAAAAGAAAAAAAAAAAAAAAACCTTAACCACTAAAAAAATCTCAACACATAATTTTAAAATATGTTAGAAAACTTAAAAATATAATATTTTTTAAAATAACATAGTAGTTATTTTTTAAAAATTAATACTCTCCGTTCAATTGAAAAGTTACCATTTTTTATTTTCGTCCGTTCCAAAATAAAGTTATCATTTTCTAATTTAGTAATTGTACTATCTATTTCACATAATAAATATTATTTCAACTTACAATATATTATACATATTGCACCATACTAATAGAATATTTTTATCTTTTTTGTACTACAATCTAATATAATACTAATATTTAAAAATCTACGTAAGTATTAATAATAAATATTGTTAACTTCCTAAAAAAATAAACGTAACCACATATGTCAGTGTAAGATGCGAAATTGTGACCAATCCAAATATATTATATCTTATAAATACGAGTTTGTACGGATCTGCCACTTGAAAAGTCTATTCTGCCCCTCATTTCGAAAATGACAATTTAGTCCTTAACCTATCTTTGTACTGGCTTGAAAAGACGAGATTGTACGGATCTGCAACTTGAAAAGTCTATCCAGTCCCTCATTTCGAAAATGACAATTTAGCCATAAGTCTACCTTTGTACTGGCTTGAAAAGACTTTTTGGAACCGTCGCCAGCAACCACCGTCAACCGCCCAAGACGAAACGTTTTGAAACATCGTCTGGTCGGTTATATCAACCGTCTCGCCAAATGCCTCCACCAGTTCCAGAACTCAAATAGCCCAACCGACCAATCCAGAGACCAATCGCTATACCAAAAGACTTCTTGGCAGCACCAACCAAGCGATCTGTCTATCCGCCTGCGGACCAGCTGACTTGCCTATCCGACCGCAGACCAGCCGACCTACTTTATCTGACCGCAGACCATCAGACCTGTCTGTCCGACCTGTTGACCATCAGACATGTCTGTCCGACCGCTAACTATCCGACCGAGGACCAACCGACCATACCAACCGACCGACCGAGGACCTTCCGACCTGCCAATCCGACCGCTAACCAACCGACCTGATCATCCGACCGAGGACCAACCGACCAGACCAACCGACTGAGGATCTTCCGACCTGCCTATCTGACTGCTAACCAACGCACCTGACCATCCGACCGAGGACCAACCGACCTGAGCGCAATTTTTTTTTCCTTTTCCACCCGATTTCGTGTCTATCTTCCTTTAAGATCCTGCTATCCTTATTATTATTATTATTTTTATTTTTATTTTTTTTTATTATTTTTTTTTTTGCGTAACAATTATCAAAGTTGAAATATCCTTGCTATTTTTGACATTTCAAAACTCATAAAGAGATGCAGGGTCACCCTTCTTATCTCAAACATTTCATCTACATTCTCCTCTATTTTATTTTTTATTGTTGTTGATGCAATTTTTCAACAATAAAAAGTAAAATCTGAAAATAAAGTGTTGATGTATTTTTTCAACAGACAAAAAGTAAAATTCAAAGATATGGAAAATATCCTTAAATTTGATTAATTAGCGCCTGAGATTAGGAATCTCTAATTCCTCCTTTATTGACACGTGTCTTGCACCGTCTCGCCAAACGCTTCCACCAGTTCCCAAACTCAACTTGCCCGACCGACCATTCCAGAGACCAATTGCTAGACCAGCCGACCTACTTTATTCGACCTGCTGACCATCAGACTTGTCTGTCCGACCTGCTGACCATCCGTCTGTCCGACCTGCTGACCATCAGACCTGCAGACTTCCCGACCTGATCACTTTTCGTCTTGACGACCTCCCAACCTGAGGACTTCCCGACCTAAGGACTTCCCGACCTGACCACTTTCCGTCTTGAGGACCTCCCGACCTGAGGACTTCCCGACCTAAGGACTTCCCGACATAAGGACTTCCCGTCCTGACCACTTTCTGTCTTGAGGACGTCCCGACCTGAGGACTTCCCGACCTAAGGACTTCCCGACATAAGGACTTCCTGTCCTGACCACTTTATGTCTTGAGGACGTCCCGACCTGAGGACTTCCCGACCTGACCACTTTCCGTCTTGAGGAACTCCCGACCTGAGGACTTCCCGACCTAAGGACTTCCCGTCCTGACCACTTTCCGTCTTGAGGAACTCCCGACCTGAGGACGTCCCGACCTGAGGACTTCCCGACCTGACCACTTTCCGTCTTGAGGACCTCCCGACCTGAGGACTTCCCGACCTGAGCGCAAATTTTTCTACTTTTCTGCCCGACTTCGGGTCCTACCTTCGTTCAAGACCCTGCTACCATTATTTTTATTATTATTATTATTTTTGTACGTAACACCTTAAATTTTATTTTTTAGCGTCTGAGATTAGGAATCTCTAAACACTGTACGGTACATAAAAGGAAATTGATTGGAAAATTAAAATGCTGAAAATTTAAAGTGGTGATCCCCAAATCTGACTTTGCTTTGTTGAAGTTGATTGAAGATGCTTGAAAATAAAAAATCTAAATCCTTAAATATTACTTGAAAAGACGTTTTGGAACCGTCGTCAGCAACCGCCGTCAACCGCCCAAGACGAAACGCTTTGAAACGTCGTCTGGTCGGTTACATCAACTGCCCACTAATTCCTCCTTTATTGACACGTGTCTTGGACCGTCTCGCCAAACGCTTCCACCAGTTCCAGAACTCAACTGGCCCGACCGACCATTCAAAAGAGCAATTGCTAGACCAGCCGACCTACTTTATCCGACCGCAGACCATCAGACTTGTTTGTCCGACCTGCTGACCATCACACTTGTCTGTCCGACCTGCTGACCATCCAACCTCTCTGTCCGACCTGCTGACCATCAGACCTGTAGAATTTCCGACCTATGGACCATCCGACCCGCTAACCAACCGACCTGACTACCCGACCGCAGACCTTCCGACTTGTCTGTCCGACCTGCTGACCATCAGACCTGTCTGTCCGACCTACTGACCATCAGACCTACAGACTTTCCGACCCGCTAACCAACCGACCTGAGGACTTTCCTTCCTGATGACTTTCCATCTTGAGGACCTCCCGACCTGAGGACCTCCCGACCTGACCAACCGACCTGAGCGCAAATTTTTCTACTTTTCTACCCGACTTCGGGTCCTACCTTCCTTCAAGACACTGCTACCATTATTATTATTATTATTATTATTATTATTATTTTTGTATGTAACAAGACCTTATGTATTAGTTGATTTGGGTATTAAAACTTGTATGTTGTTATACACGAGATTGTATGGATTTGTCACTTGAAAAGTCTATCATGCCCCTCATTTCGAAAATGACAATTTAGCTCTTACCCTACCTTTGTACTGGCTTGAAAAGACGTTTTGGAACCATCGCCAGCAACCGCCGTCAACCGCCCAAGACGAAACATTTTGAAACGTCGTCTGGTCGGTTACATCAACCGCCTCGCCAAACGCCTCCACCAGTTCCAGAACTCAAATATAGCCCAATCGACCAATCCAGAGACCAATCGCTAGACCAAAAGACTCCTTGGCCGCACCCACCAAGCAACCTGTCCATCCACCTGCGGACCAGCTGACTTGCCTATCCGACCGCAGACCAGCCGACCTACTTTATCCGACCGCAGACCATCAGACCTGTCTGTCCGATATGGTGACCATCAGACCTGCTGTCTGACCGCTAACCAACCGACCAGACCAACCGACCGAGGACCTTCCGACCTGCCCATCCGTTCGCTAACCAACCGACCTGATCATCCGACCGAGGACCAACCGACCAGACCAACCGACCGAGGACCTTCCGACCTGCCTATCCGACCGCTAACCAACCGACCAGACCAACCGACCTGACCCACCGACCTGAGCACAAATAATTCGATTATATTTTTGTTTTACAGTTTATATTTCAAATAAATAATGTTTCACTACATTACATTATAGAATAGTCGCGCGGTATACCGCGCAAGAGCGTGTTCTAGTATATATATATATATATATATAAAGCACAATGGCTGCCAAGGAAAGAATTCTCAATAATTCAGGTGTAGGGGCAGATACGTAAATTCACATATAGAACAAGTGGGCAAACAGCCCATACTCTACACTGCCCCACTGACTCTCCTCATTCGCACTTCTCTCTCTCTCTCTCTCTCTCTCTCTCTTTCTCTCTCCTGATTCACACTGCGCTCTCGACGGTTCTTCAGCTGCGCTGCCATACGGGAAACCCAACAGCTCTATCAAATACTCTATAGGTACGCTACCGATTGATCGGATCGAAGGATTCACCATTTTATCGATCGACGTTTTCGATTTCGCTATTCCTCAATCGTTTGATTTCCTGTCCCTTTTCGCAGATTAATGAGCGCTGCCTTTTCGAGGTCGCCGAGATCTGAGCCTCAACAGCGAATGAATTTTTGATCGAATTGCTGCTTCGAGTATCATCTGTTCATGAAGGATTGGTGCAGATCGGTGCCCTCCTGGATTTCTCAATTACTTGCATGCATGGGGTAACTTTTTTCTCGTCTCTCCCCTGGGTGTCGTTTGTTTCTTCGATGATCGATTTTCTCATATTGCGTAGCAGCAGAATGCAATTCGATTCATTCTTAAGCTGCTGCTGCTTCAACTTTGCATCGAGTAAATTGTTCGATGGAGTGAAAAAATTGGGGCAACGTCCTGTCAATTTTTCGGTAGCTAAACTGTTTTTGATTTGTCTTACTGCTGATGCTATCTCAGAAGGTAAAACATCAGAGTTACTCAGAATCGAATAGTGAATAAAGAGATAGGGAATTTTGAAAATGATATATTCTTTGAGGGACAAGCCAACATAAGGTATAAAAGTAGTTGGGCAGATTATAATTGAGGTCTTTCCGTAAGATGTTGGCTGTCATTTAGTTAATAATTCGTTTCCCTTACTTTAATTTGGTTGGAGTCTTAATTTAGCTTGTTTTTTAAGCGAGCATCAATTATTTGTTTTGAACAGAGATTCGGCCTTTTCTTTCTTTTGATCATTTGCATTGCGCTTTATCTAGAATGAGTTTATTTACACATTTGGTTGTTTCGAATCGGTATGCTTTTTTAGGTAGCTTGTAAAACTATGGGTGTGTTCGGTTGGAGTTTGGTTTCAGATTTTTTTTACTATGCAATCATCCTGTAAAAATACAAATTCTACTCTTACAAAACATTATGTCTAAACCACTATTCAAACCAACAAACAAAACCAAACTCCTAAAGAACACAACCTAAAACTTGGTTGCACGTATCTATAATAGATTTGGTCTAGATATACAGATAGAAGCTTGCATTGAGGAAAGGTTGTAGTGCTCTTTTCCAGGCCGTTTTAGTAAACATTTCTAATCATTTGTAAGGTTGGTTGAAGGGTTCAATATCACTTGTGTTTTCATCTTTAGTTCTCCACTGCACAGTCTACAGTTAAATGATTTTCCCTGCCCAAAACATTACATCAAAATTTATTTTTTATTCAAAAACATTATATCCAATATATTTTTCACTAAAAGAAGCTGAATTCTAAAACAAACCAAAATAGTTAAAAAAATTCAAACAAATGTAAACTTACCTAATTATTTGCTGATATTGTAGCTTGAATATTTCTGATGTTGCATTGTTGCTTCTGTTGATTGATCTGCTAGTGGGCGGCATTGTTTTGACAGTTGGGTTTTTATTTTCCCACACCGATGATTTAGAATAGCTGTGTAGTTAGTTGAATACTTGGCATGTGCTTTTCATTGAATTTATTTGATACTTGAGTCGATTAATTAATCTTTGATTAAAAATATTGGGGAGCAGGATTTGGTGACTTGGGTGAATTGCATATTGTTCTAAATGTTAATAATATATTGATATGGTAGCGGTGGGGGGGGGGGGGGGGGGGTGGCACAGAGCCATGTCCTCCCTCAGCTTCCCGTTAGATCCGTCCATTCTTGCCAAGAATTTGTTGGGTTGGAGTTTTGTTTATTTACATGTAGGACAGGTGGTGAAGAGTTACTTCTGAAAATTTAGGTATTCATTCTGCACTAATAGGTTTTGTTCAGATTAAAAGTACATGAATTCATTGTTTGGAATATTGTTTTGTCCTCAGTTTACATAACATACTAATGTTTCAAGTACTAAGTAAGTTTTATTTAGTATGCAAAGTGCAGAGAGTAAAATCTATAATCTCGGTAATTCCAAGCAAAAACTTAAACTTTGATAATTTGGGATCTTATTTCTCTGGCTTATCTTCACAGAGGGCAGCGTCTCTTATTTGCAAAGTATAATCGATTTTACAATATCTGCCGATACACTAATCATTTGTATGGTGATAAACCTAATTTGTAACAGAGCAGAGGTTGTCTTGGATGTTGTACCAAACCACCACTTGTAATTTCCGTAGATGCGCCATCAAAGGGGCTGAAAATTCAAGGTCATCGTGTGAAGAAGCGAAGCTTGACAGAGGATTTCTGGAGCACAAGCTCAGGTCATATGGATAACAGCGCCTTTCCATCCCATAGAAGCATCTCATCAATCAGCACTTCAAACCAAACTATCCATGACACTCACAGCAGCACATCTGGCGGGACCAGCAATGCATCTGAATTCGTAAATCATGGCAAGTACTTACACACACACTAGCTTGTTTTTATCTGTGCAAAGCATTTAAGGAGAAACCCTGAGGTTTTATGCAATTATTTGCCACAACATCACTAACAAGGATATAAAATGATTTCGTAGGTTTTTTGCTTCCCCTCTCTTCCCTAATTGATGAGGATTAGATATTCCTTCCTGCAGAGTTTAATGGCTGTTAATATTTTCTTCTCACTTAGTCTAAAAAAATTTGACATTTTTCCTTGCCTTCCGTTTTTACTATACTTAGTTTATAAGGGATTATTGTACAAGGTATTATGGTTCGCTTATTATTCTTTTATTATTTTGTTTTGTGTTTAAGGATTCCTTCTGTGGAACCAAACAAGGCAGCAGTGGGTCGGACATACGCGATCTGAAAAGATAGCTCAAGCAGAAGAGCCGAAATTGAGGTGAGAAGATTAAGTTTGCAGACCTTGATTTTCAACATGCATTTCTCAAAAAAGTTGTTTGAGAAAGGACTAAATTGGCTGCTATTATTATTATATTTGATTTGTAGTTGGAACGCAACTTACGAGAGTTTGCTTGGGACCAACAAACCTTTCCCTCAGCCCATCCCATTGGCGGTCAGTGCACTGCTAGAGAAATAGAAATTTTGTTTTGCTTTTCTCCTTTACTGTGTGTTACTACTCACTACTATGGGTTCGACCAACAGGAAATGGTGGATTTTCTTGTCGATGTCTGGGAGCAGGAGGGATTGTATGATTGACTACTTACTGCTTGGAGGATACAAAATTTCTTTCTTTCTTTTGTTTTTTTTTATCAGTGTGTGGTTGCTAAGAGCTCACTCGGAAAGGGCCTATCCTGCATGGACAAGCTAAGCTACGACACTGTTGGTTTTATCTTAAGATTCCAACTTGCGACTCATTTGTAATTAGGTTGTGTTATGATGAATGGATCGATCGATCGATCTGGGAATTGTGGATATCCAGCAGCTCTCTCTAAATGAAGAAAACACATGGTAATTTTCTGGCCACTTGTTTGAATTCAATCTGGTTCGGTTGAGCTCTCATGTCATGTGTCTGTCTGTTTATGATGTAGTTAGTTAAACATAGCTTTACTTGGATTTGATATGCATAAAAACTGAATTTTTTTAGTCTTTTTCTTGCCTGCTTTCTCTCTTTGGTGAATTAGAGAAATTATATGCGCGATTGCACCCGTGTTTGTTTATTTTGTATAATTTTTTTACTCGGCCGAATCTAATATCTTGCAAACTAGGCTAGACCCGACAAGCAAGTCACACTAGGCGAACCATGTGTGGCAGGTGACCTGAGGCGTTAGGGATTTGAACCCATGACCTCACGGTTACACATCCAATCCTACACCAGCAATTCTTTATGGTCTTGTCTTTTTTCTAGAGCTATGGTGGGTGGGTGTATTTCCTTTTTGTTTGTTTTACTTGGGACACTATTGATATTTGAGTGCTGGGTAAATTTTTAACCTGAGTATAACAGTAAGAAAGCAAGATAAATCACACTGGACGTCTATTCTCCTATGATGGGCGGGTGGATGTATTTAATGTCTTATAGTGATTGTATTCGACTTGATTAAAAGTAGAAGTTGAGGTTTGGAATGGACTATATAGGTTTTGTTCACTTTCTTTTTTTTCTTACAATTCTTGACTAATATTACTAAAACAATAATAATAATAATAATAATAATAAACAAAACAGTCAATAATTTAACATAAAATATTATTTTTTATGTTAATAGTATAATTTATGTGCCTAATATAAAAAATACATAGTATATACTTCATTCATTCACAAAAAATTAACAATTCAACACAAAATATTACTCCCTCCGTCAAAGACGCCCTGCAATATTTCCTTTTTGGTATGTCCCAAACACCATGCAACATTTTCAGTATAGGAAATAATTAATTATACATAATCTCTACCCCACACTTTATCCTCTCACATCATCCAAATGAAATAATAAAATATATATTTCTCTCTTCATCACATCACCTAATTTCTAAATTATCCTACTTAATACTACCCACCTAAAAACTCGTGCAAAAAACAAACGTTGCACCTTGTTTGAAACGGAGTGTTTGAAACGGAGGGAGTATTTTTTAACATTAAAAACAAATTCATCCAAAAATTAAGAACAGTTTCAACAAAAATACATGGAGTGAACAAATCCAAAAAAAACACACGTGTATTAAATAAAAACACTTATTAATGACCATGTTAAGTAAAAAAGAATATAATAGTTACTTGGCATCTCACACTAAAATAAACACTTGACTGGAAATGCGTAGTTGATCTATAAAACCCAGCACACAACACAATCCCATAGTTTTGGAAAAGCCATTAAATGTAAAATCTAATTTGGATTTACCTAAATCAGCAAAATCCATTGTGTGCAAGAACCAGTTGATGTTGATCTTTGAATGCGAATTGTGTTCTTCCAGGTGCTTTGCTTTCTTTTGACAAAATTCAATGTACATACAAGTGGCAAAATTTATATATATATATATATATATATATCATACATTTAATCCAGAATATTACAAGATTAATTTTAATTTAAAAAAAAAAAAATACTTTATAAACATTTTACTTTCAATATTAATATATTTTTTCATGTCTGAGATTTTCTTAGCCCTTCATGCATGCAGATAGACTCATTGCACTTAGTTAAAAGCTTAAACTTGAACCTGATCCTCCGGCCATGCTGTCCTGTCTCCTCTCCGCTCGTCGTGTCGTGGTAGCCCATCTGCGCGGACATCCGAATGATTCATCGTAAGGTTAAATAATTATGGACAGAATAAGCTGAAACAAACATTACATAATACATATTGAGGACAAAGAGAATGCAGCCGACCTGGAATAGCTGTTGTAGGACAGTATCATCGATGCTCGTCTCATTTTGTTCCTTCACATTGTGTGTCTTCACTTATGGCTTTCCTAAGCTTCATCTTAAGAAGTAAAAGATTTATACAGAACATTGATTTTTTACCTTCAAAGGGAAATCCATAGATAACAAATAATGATATAAATACGGACAGAACTATAATAGGTAAATCTGGATATACAAAAATGTGAGACGGAACAAAATTCCACAGCACAGTATGTATAGAATGGGCAAACCACATAATAGACATCCAGATGTTATTTAGTCGATCAATGATAAAATAGATTTAAAAATGCAGGTAGCTTAATTGTATGTAAGCATCGTTGATAGAGTCTAATACACCAAACTATTGAACATAAAGTGCAAGCAGATACACATTCAATTAACTCGGCTATGCCTCACTGTCTTTCGAAGCAGATTCCAAACCAGCAGTTGGGCTGTCAGCAAAGTACTCCGGACGCTTGAAGTTTACACCATACTACAGTTAACACGGAAAGCAATCAAGAAATGAAGACTTTACATAAAAAATTAAAAAAAAAAAAAAAAAAAAAAGGACACAGAATCATAAGATAAAATTGTCAGTAATAACCTAAAGCAAAACAATTGTAAACGTGGTTATGAATGCGCACGGTAGTATTATATTGTTAATATACATGATGGAGGTAGTATATGTGCAAAAAGGTAAAAAAATTATAAAAAATATACACATGATGCATATATATATATATATATTCGATCAAAAATCACAATTTCAAGTGTTTAACAAATAAAAACTATTTAAGCATGCTACCCATCATAAATAAATCAAAAGGCACAATAATATTAAACTAAAGGAAATAGACATTTCAAAACATAAAAATCCTAATCATCAAATTCTATATAACCTATCATTCTGATCATTATTATCTTCACCAAGCTCTTCAATCTCAATGTTAGACAGTAAAGTGGGAGGCTTCAGAGACAGGGAAGCAAGGAAAGGCAAGGAGAAACAGAAGATACAAATAAAACAGGAGGGCAGGCGGAGAGAGTCAAACAATATATAAAATAAAAGACTGCCAGTATTCTGTTTTGATTAATACTGATTGCATTTTAATTAAAAACACATAAGACAGGAGATAAACCCAGAGGATAGCATTTACCTCCCGGAGAGCCTTGGAAAGATCCTCCATAGTCAAGATCAAGCGTTTATCCTATCATGTGAAGCAAGTATTAGAACAGATAATAAGCATTTGCTTTTACACTTTAAAGCAACAATAGCAGACCTTCTGCTGTTTATCTCTTTTGTCCTTTATTATAGATGACTGCCTTGCATTGCATTGCCTGTTTCAAGTTGGAAGAAACATTATTCTGATAATTTGGAACACCAAAAATCAGAAACTGAAATCAATATATATATATATATATAAATATAAATATATATAATAGAATTAAGAGACAAAGAACAATAACATACTGAAGAGCTTCCGTTGCCACATCCGCAATAAATTTCTGCGTAGCTACTGCAACCAGTCTTGTTCTACATAAACAAATGATAGGATGTAAAATACGGAAACCCAAAAAATTACACATATACACTTGTCAGTAATGCAAAGGTAATGGATGAACTTGATGCAGCTTTTAACTAAAAGGCTTGAGATCAATACCCTTCAAGATATGTACATCTGAGTCATATATAAAGACAATTATACTACTGTAAACCATATGCTACGATTATGCACAAGTGACAATGTTCAGTACTTCAAATTAAGGTAAAACATTCACTGCGACAACTCAAAAGTTTTCCAAAGTCACACAAATCATGTGAATTCAAGTATCAAGTAAATAACACCAAGTCTAGAGCTACATATCAATGAGAACACGTAATTTCAAAAATTTCCCTAACTCCATATTTCGCCCCTTCCTCAAGGAGTAAGAGAGGGGTTTTAGGGCAGAGAATACCTACAATCGCACATCAGGGCTCTGGAATCCACTTTTCGCCAAATAATGTTCCACCAATTCATCAGGTATCTGTAAATCATCAAAACCGGTAACCGAAAATCACTCAACAATCGACCCTAACGTCTAACAACACGTATGGAAATTTTTTCCAAAAAGAGAACTTAACCGTGGGAGTGTAGTCCATTAATGAAGCAAGGAATTCGGTAAGCACCGCATCGTCATCGTGGCGGGCGTCCTTGGGATGCTGCTGGCTAGTCTGACCGTTCATTGACGCTACCCTGCGTACGCTCGCCTCGCGCTTCGGTCTCGTCGGGGACGGACGGAGGTGTTTTCGTGCAGCTTTGGTGCCCTGCCGCAGAGCACCGATAATTAATAAGAATCAGCAGAAACGCGACTTTAACTTAAAAGTGCGATTTTAGGATCTCAGCCGCAGGGTCGGGTCACGGTCAGGGATGACAATGGACCCGAATCCATATCGGATCGATGTTCGCATTATCGTATCACGGTTCGGGTCGGGTCAATTAAATTTGACCGGGTCTTCATCCCACTCCTAGACTTGCCCAACCGGTTTCGAACCTTCGGTTCCAACCTTCGGTCAATTATTAATAATGATAATAATAATAATAATAAATTGTTTGAATGAATATTTTGATTAAAAATAAAATATACTAGAAATATAACTTTTTGTGTTCCATTTAGATAGTCTTACGGCTCTATTCAATTGAGATTTTAATGAATTTTTTTAATTTTAAAAAGTTTATGGATTTACGTGGATTCAAAAAATCCACGTAGTCTACGCTGAGTTTGATGGATTTTAGTAATTGATTTAGATGATTTCTACGGATTTGATTGAATTTTTTTATGAATTTATATGAATTTTGTAAAATTGTAAAATAATTTTTTTAATATATATATTAATTATATAAATTTATATCAAATAACAAATTTTATAAATATAATAAATAATTATTAATAAGATAATATTTAATATTAATAAATAATATATATGTATTTACTTTTTATGTAAAAAGGTTATATTAATATAAATAAATAAATAATTTACGCGTTTTGAAAAAAATATTAAAATAAAAATAAATTAACGGTTCAACAAAAAATATATATTTAAATATTTATTTCACCGTTATCAATGATAATATAGTGTATTCGATAATTGAAAAAAAAAAGACGCAGTAATATATAATATTTTTTAAAATTATATTTATAATATAAAAATATATATTTAAAAAAAATCATAATAATTTGCTAATATATTTTAGTTTTAAATTATTATTTTTATTAAAAATTATAATAATAGTAATAAATATTATCGTATTATTGATCACATATACAACAACAACAATAATAATAATAATAATAATTTTAAAAATCCATCAAAATCTGCGATTGTAAGGAGAGATTCTTTTCTAGACAAAATTTTTACAAAAATCCATTAGAATCCATAGAAATGAATTGTTGAATATTTCAAGATTTTAAAAGACTTTTAAAAGTCTAAGTTGAATACCTCTGGATTCTAAAACACTTTTAAAAGTCTTGATTAAATACACCCAAATTTTAAAAGTTCAACAAAATTCTACAAAATCTATATTGAATACACCCCTTATTTTTCATTTAGAATGATTCCACTTGGATAGCTTAGTTTTTTTTTCATTTATTTTTTATTTATTTTTATAATGTAGAAATTCGTATCGGCTAACTTAATGTATATTCACGACAAACAACGACGAAATAGAACTATTCGCAACAATTGGTAGATACTTGGTTAGCTAAGAATGGTTCTTTTTTCATTATCAATAAAAGCTAGTTCATTGATTCTCAAGTCCTTGTTATAAGAAAATGATTTTATTTTACATCTATAGTTAAAAAATATTGTTTTGTAATTCCCATTTAATTTCAATAATATATAAAGTCAGTAATTAATTATAGCAATAATAATAATTGATTAATCACATTGAATATGAATTTGAATTTAAATAAAACTTAATATACCATTATCTCATAAAAATAAATGAAAATATGTCCATTCATACAATAAGGTGTGTGTTGTTTTAGTGTTTTAGTAGGATTTAATATTTTTTTTTTCAAGTAAAATAATTATTGAATGAAATATTTTTTTAAGAAAAAAATAAATATACTGTTCAAAATGAATAAATCAAATAGAAAAATGATGCTGGGTAGAAAAAACATAACCTTTTAATTTGATTCATTAATTATTTTTCACTAAAATAGCATAAATCGAACTTGACCTATAATTTATTTTTAATATACAATAAATAAAATTTTAAATTTAAGCTCGATCAAGCAATATATATTGAGTTTGATCTGTTGGATTATAAATATAATTGAGGGTTAAATGTAACTATTTGACCTATCAGTATTAAATTTATATTAAGTAATTTATTAATTTATTGGGATTAGATGTATTTAGCAAGTGCGGGTCTCCTACATGCAGAAACTCAATAACTTATTAATTGAGTGATGAGATCGATCAATAAAGACTAAAACCCTAGTGATTTTTTGAAGAGGAATTGCCCTAACAATACAAAACTCTATGTTAATTTGTAGATTTGAATCCGACAACATTAATGTAATCAAGTCAAATTTATTAAATTTATTTTTATATTTCAATTATTTCAACGCGACATATCCTGATTATAGAATTTAATTACTGAGAAGTTCCAACAATCAATAAAAAGTCAAGTTGATTTTTTTCAAAAATAAAATAAATCAAGATGCTGACTCCATATAATAACAATAATAATAATAATAATAAAAGAAGCGTAAGTTTGAATTGAAATACGGAAAAACCATAGCACGTAATTGCATGGAAGTTTATTTTGTATTGCCAAATTGTTGAAAAATAAATAAAAGAATTATTGTGGTTCAATGAACTTGGTGGGTGTAATTAGAATTAATAAATAAATAAATAAAAGAATGGCATTATTGTAGTTAAGATTGGGTTAATAATGGTGACAAAATCCATTAAAAAGTAAACATTCACCCAGTAATAAAGTATTCATTTACCTTTTGCGTCGTTGTATTTAACATTAAATTTTTTTTTATATTTGTATCATTTTTTATACAAATGTCGTTATATTAGTATTATAAGACACTGATAGAAATATTTTTGTAATTTTTTTTTGATTTGTAATACGTTTTGATATAATAATTAATATTCAAAGATCAACACGCAAAAAATAAATAAATACTTAGTTATGGGACGGAGTGAGTATTCCAATACAATACTCTTGTTTATCATTTTTCTCCGTCTCAAAACAATAGTCTTATTTTCATAAATAATCATATCACCATAAAACTACCTCTATTTTTTCATTTTTATTTCACAATTACCACTATTTTTTTACACTAATGCACTCACAAGGGCAAACAAATTTTTTATTTATACTTTTTACCAACTACCAATATAATATCAATATTTTTTAAATCTCGTATTCAATCCAATTAAAACTATATTTACTAGACATATAGAGTATTAAATAGTAGGGTTAGGTTGATTGGATGCATGAATATACATGGTGGATGGGGTCACTTATAATTAATTTAATTTAATATGGAAAGTATTAGAAAAAATGAAATAAATAGGATCGAGTAACATGGCACGGTGTTATATAAAAAAATGATTTATATATATATTATGATACACACACACCCACTTGGATTCCACAAAATCCTCTTGTCAATTTTTTATACACCAAAAATAATAATTATAATTATACTATATTTGTGGATTGATTCTTCCTCAGGATTGCTCTGCAACTTGCACCAAACTATTCATGTCAATGACTATTGCCCTCGTGTCTTTATATATATATATATATATATATATGACAAAATTGTCCATAACTCCCATGTGGTTTCGAAACTCATCGTAAATTTTCCCTTTACTTTAAAAATTACATGACGTCCCTTTATACTTTAAAAAATATTGCATGAAACTACTTTGTGGTTTCGAAACCTAGCATAAATTCCTATTTTACTTAAAAAAATTGCATGACGCTCACTTATACTTTAAAAAATATTGCATAAAACCTCCTGCCATGCAAAACATATAGATAGGAAATCATCTTCTTATCGCACGAGGAAAGTTTCATGGTGGTGGGGTTTCATGCAACGTTTTTTAAAGTATAAAGGGGGTACCATGCAATTTTTAAAGTACATAGAGATTTTACGCCCGAAACCACAAGGGAGTTATAAGCAATTTTACATATATATATATATATACATAGTTATTGAGATAGATATAGAGAGAGAAAAGTTAATCATATACTCCATCTGTCTCATTACAATAGTTTTGTTTATTATTTTTGTCCGTTTCAAAATAATAATCTCATTTCTATAAATAATCATATCACTATAAAATTACTCTTATTGTTTCATTATTATTACACAATTGTCACTACTTTTTACACTAATACACTCACAAGGGCAAAAAAGGTCTTTTCCCCGTATTTTTTATTCACTACCAATATAATATTAATATTCCTTAAATTTTGTATCAAAGACAACCCAAACTATAGTTTTGGGACGGAGGAAGTATATAGAGGGAGAAAAGATATACTTCCTCCGTCACATATAAAGAATAACGTTTGTTTTTTGCACGTAAATTTTATTAATATTAATATTATATTGGACTGTGGTAAAAAAAAAAAAGAAAATATCTTTATTAGTATTGTATAATATAAAAATTGTGATATTTGTGTAATATATTGTAAGTTGGAAGGGTATTTATTATGTTAGGTAGATAGTACAATTACTAAATTAGAAAATTGTACCATTAGTTTTGAAGGGACGAAAATGAAAAATTGAACTCTTCTTATGGGACGGCGAGAGTAATTAATTAAAGAATAATAAGTATTTGATTGATTAGCAAAAATATATAAAATAATTTCGATATTTTTTTCTAAAATGAATATATATTTTTAAAAAATTAGAAGTATTTTGTTATTTATATATATAATTACTTTTATTATAATTAAAAATAGACACTTTCTAAACAAATTAGAAAAATAATGATTTTGTTTAATTAGAATTTTATTTTTTCAAATAACAAAAGTTTGAATATTTGATAAGAAAAATCAATATAGAACTTTTTTCGCGCCAACAAATATAATTATTTATTTTTTTACTTAGATTTTAAAATGTTGATAAATTTTAGGTAATAATTTAATAGAAAGAAAAATTAAAAATTATTTTTACTCTTAAGTTTATTTATTTTTTAATAACATTTTTTGTAATATTAATTAAAATGTATAAGTATTTTTTTTATTAAAATAAAAAATAATTATTCAAATATATATGTTGAGAGTTGATAAATTAAAATGACAAAATTGATACTCTAGAAAGTGAATCAATAAAATATTTGACATAATTTATTTTTTTTAAAAAAAATATTGGTAATAAATAATATAAAAAAAAAATCATCAGAATATATGTATAAACAATAATATAAAATATAAATGTAAGATAGTAATTACGCACGTCAATGACTACTGCCTCAAGACATGTCTTGTATGACAAGCGTAGAATAGGTTGAAAATTACCCTATAATAACATATTTACAATATTATGGTGTGTTTGTTCGGAAGTTTGGATTTTGAGTTGAGATTTGAACGGTAAAAATTTTGAATTTGAATAGTTGTATGATATGATATGATATAAATAGATCTGGTTGACATATTTACAAAAGAGGTTGCGGATGAGATCGTGGACGTGGAATAGATCATAGACGTCGAATTGACCGTGGACGTGGTCGAGACATATTTATTTTTTACTATTACCGTGATGGTTATTTTGATGAATAAAGATTTAAATAGGGTCATTAAGCAAAAAAAAAAAAAAAAAAAAAACAATTGAGAATAAATATCTAATACTCCATCCGTCCAATTACAAAGTATACATATTTCTATTTTGGGACGTCCAATTACAAAGTAACTATTTCATTAAATACCCAACTTTTTTCCACAAATACCCTTACTTTACATCACATCAATACTTTTATACCAAAAAGTAAGGGCAAAAATGTCATTATACCACTTTTACCTATCCACTTAAACTCCGCACCAAAAGTAAATGTATACTGCTTGCTTGGACGGAGGGAGTAGGACATTGGTTCCGAATTTGCCATACAAACTCTTATTTTGTTCAATTATATAAAAATTCTTTAAAGTAGAGAAATAAGGTATCGAGATGCCAAGACTAACTTGTCAAACAAACAATGTTAGTGGTAGTGATAATTATAATGACGAGGCTTATTTAGATGTCTCAAACTTTCAAGTGTACCATTAAGGTGTATATTTGGACAACCTCAGCCGGTGCAATTTTTTAAAATTATGATTGTGAAATTTGATAGTATATATAAGTATATATTTTTGTACCTTTTATACTTTATTATTTTTGTTTCATATTTTATAATAATATAAGAGTTATATATTATGTTCAACTTACTAATATATTTATTTATTTATTTATTATGTTTCTTCAAGAAGAAGTAAATATAATGTTAAATGTGTCCTAATTAATAACTTCTTATAAATAATATATAAACACACACCATTTTTAAAAAAAGAGATTGTTGCTCAAATAGTTAACTTCCCCTTCACATGAACAATTAAGATTCAATCTTTGTTGAGTACAATAGTGTGAAAAAAAAAAATTGTTATATAGAACATCTCAAATAAATTTACAAAATTTTAATTAATAACGTTGATCACTAAAATTTCATTTATTCACTTTAAAACAATTTAATATATATATATATATATATTAGTGTGTTTGTTTGGGGGTTTGAATTTTAAGTTGGGATTTGAATAGTAAAAATTTTGAATTTGAATAGTTGTATGATGTGATATAAATAAGTGTTGATATGATGTTTTGAATGTAAAATTGATTTTTAGTATAATATAAATAATAAAAAATAGATATTTGATTTGATGTTTTTGGGAAAAAAAAATGAGATTGAACAGTGGAAATCTAATCCAATCCCCCAGAATTGAGTTTTCAGACTTGATGAACACTTTAAATTATATTCAATATAAGAAATATGAAAAACAAGAAGATAGATAATAACAAAAATATTCTCTCATTACAAAACAACATAATTTTTTCTTACCAAACACAATCCCAAATAAGTTTTTGTGTCTTATTTGACTGACGTTCATAGGAGTAGTAAACTTAAACTACAACCTTGTTTGGTCGGTTATAGAATATTTACATACGGTTGAGTGTGTAGTAAAATCAAACATAAATAGACAATACCAAAGATATTTAGCAGTAATTTGACACTTAATTTGACACTTTTCGTTTTGATATCACCTTTGAGTTTCTGTCGCATGTTGTAATTAATACTCCTTTCGTCTCACTCTAAAGGACCATTTTGTAATTTTATAGTAAATTAAAAAATAATACTCTCTCTATTCCATAAATATAATTTTATTTGGGTTGGACACGAGACTTAAAGAATATTGATATTATATGGATAGTTGGTAAAAAATATAGATAAAAGACTTTTTTGTCCTTGTAGATGTATTAGTGTAAAAAAGTAGTGACAAATGTGTAATATAAATGAGAAAATAGGGGTAGTTTTATAGTGATATGGTTATTTATGGAAATAAGACTATTGTTTTAGGACGGACAAAAATGGTAAACAAGACTATTGTATTGAGACGGAGAGAGTAATATTTTATTGATTAGTGAAAAGGCATAAGAGTTTTGATATTTCTATGATTTTATATATAAATTAATTATATGTGTAATGATATATTTGTAATTTAGATAAAAATTAAAAATATTTTAATATTAATATATGATTATTTTTACTAAAATAAAAATATATACTTTTAAGTATGACAAGACGAAAATATTAAAAATAATACTTTTAATTTGAAAGAAAAGAATATAGCATATGTAAAAATTTGAAAGATTTTTTTTCAATAACATCTAAAATTATAAAATTTACTTTTTGAAATCCGTACTGAGTAAACTTATGCTCAAACATAATGCGTCAAAATATAAAATAATATTTTTGTAACAGTTCATGTATGTATGTTTAATAATTTAAAAATTTGCTGCCTCTATTCTTTAAATATTACTAAAAATAAAAATTATCGCTAAAGTTTGTATTTGTTTAGGGATTTTGATTTTAAGATTAATAATAAAAAATTAAATTAAAATAATTATATAATATAATATAAATAGATATTAATAATTTTTAGCATAATAAAAGAAATAAATATTTGATTTAATTTATTATTTTAAAAAATTAATAAATAATAAAAAAATTGTAAAATTTAATAAAATAACACATCCTAAATAAAAGCAACTGTTTATACATAGAGTTTATTTAATTTTGGTTTTAAATAAAAATAGGTAAAATAATACAAAAATATTATTCGAATTAAAAATTAAATAATACTAAAATCAACGTTGGACCAAAACTAAACAAATCCGTGAGATATCATGGAGGGATTTTTATAAAAAAAAATATCCAAAGTGAAATGGGAAGAGAGAGATGAAAGAGGAAAGTGAATTAGGTACAATGAACAAAGTTGGTTGGTGTTTTCGATGAATTTGGTAAAATACTTCCTCTTACAAGGGTGAGGTGGGGGCAATTTTGGTATTTCACAATTTGCAAAATTGTAATCAATAAATATACGCCAGAAAAGATCCATTGTATGTGTCATCTTAGTTAGGTTCATCGCACGTAGCCCCATTTTCTATTCTTCCTCATTTTTTTATTTTAATTATATAAATTATTATTAAAATACAATAAATTGGAATGGGGCTGATGACAGCCAAGGGTGACGCGCGCGTGGGCTGCACCGCCACGCGCGGTTCTTATCGCTTGTTTGGTTTTCGCCATATATCTATCATCTTCAATTTCTGCATTTCGTAGCAGCCCCTCCCACCCCCACCCCCCGACTTTTGTTTTCTCTCCTCTTTTTTGCCCTATTGATTAGGGTTTCCTCATCGCCTTCTTCCTCCGCCTTTGATTTTTGTTTTTGATTTTTCTGTTTTTGTTTAGTTATTTTCTTTCCGTCTGATGCATCCGGTGTTTCTCGGGGGACGACTGTGGATTGTGTTCCTGTTGCTTGATCTGATTGTTTTTGCTCTCTCACAAGGGTTTTCTGAGCTTCCGCGGCTTGGATTTGGCTTTTCTGGACAGTTACGATGTCTAAGGTCCTTGATTTCAGTGGTATGGCTTCTGATTTTTTATTTTTATTTTATTTTTGTTGCTGTATTCTGCTTTCGTTAGTCGAGATGCTTTTTCCCTTGGCGTTGAATGAAAGATATGTTTGTAGTTTTTGTTTCCTTGTATCTTCTGAACCCAAAGAAGGATATCTGTTTCGATCTGATCCTTCTATGGATGTTTTCTGAAAGTTTTTGTTAATTCAGATTTGTGTCCCCCCCCCTTGTTCTTTTACGTACCTTTGTTTTCTAGTCAAATTATGCTCCTGACTGCTGAAGTAGCTGAGTTATTTGATGGACTTTAAGCAATTTAATGGCCTGTGTCTTTGTAACGCGTTTTTAGGATGTTTTCTTGCAAAGATTTTGTATGGATCTAATTTTATCCGAAGAACGAGATGTGTTTTGAGTTATATTTGTACAGACAATTCATTTATATCCATGTATGTATTGAATTTGTTGGGCTAGATCTGAAAATTCAACTGTTCGAACTTTAGCTTCTTTAGCATGAATATTACTTGATATCAACACACTATTATTTGCAGGTGATGATGGTTTTTGCGGGGGATTTCTATATGGAAACCCCAACAAGTCTGGTCTTTTTCTATCTCTCAGCAGCCAAGTGGATGTGTATTTTCCTCCTCGCAAAAGGTCCCGAATCAGTGCTCCATTTGTTGTTAGCGAGGAGCGAAAGCAGCAGCCGACTATTGAAGTCCTCCCCGACGAGTGCCTCTTTGAGGTTTTCCGCCGTCTTTCAGGAGATCAGGAGAGAAGTGCTTGTGCCTGTGTGTCGAAACGTTGGCTCTTGCTTTTGAGTACCATCCATAGGGATGAAATATGTACTGCTGCTGCAGCACAATCTGTGGAGCCCGAGATCAAATCTGAGGCAGAGACCAATTCTGCCATGCCTAAGGAGAAGGGTGAATTTGTCGATCTAAATGGAATTCGGTCTGAGGATGAGGAATCTGTTGGCACTGACCCTCATGGTTATCTGTCAAGATGCTTGGAAGGCAAAAAGGCAACTGATATTCGATTGGCTGCAATCTCTGTTGGAACTGCGAGCCGTGGTGGTTTGGGGAAGCTTTCTATCCGGGGAAATAAATTTACAAAGAATTTGTCGAATCTTGGCCTTAAGGCTATATCTCGTGGCTGCCCTTCTTTGGGGGCTCTTTCATTGTGGAATGTATCGTCAATTGGTGATGAGGGCCTCTTTGATATAGCAAGTGGTTGTCACTTGCTGGAGAAGCTCGAGCTTTTGCAATGCTCGGCTATATCTGACAAAGGATTAGCCGCCATTGCAAGGAACTGTCCAAACCTGACAACTGTTACCATTGAATACTGCCCGAAAATTGGTGATGAAAGCTTGCTGGCTTTGGGTCGGAACTGTCCCAACCTGAAGTGCGTAACTGTTAAGAAATGCCCTCTTGTTGGCGACCGTGGGGTTGCAAATCTGTTTTCTTCTGCTGGCAATGTCATAGAAAAAGCAAATTTACATTCGCTGAATATCAGTGATGTGTCACTTGCTGTAATTGGACAGTACGGGACAGCCATGACACGTATGGCGCTTGGTAATCTCATTAATGTGAACGACAGGGGATTCTGGGTTATGGGTAAGGGTCAAGGTTTGCAGAAGCTGAAAGTTTTGTCCGTAACTTCCTGCCGAGGAATTGGAAATTCCGGGCTTGAATCTATTGCTGTGGGCTGCCCAGATCTCAAGGTTGTTACCCTCCAAGATTGTCCACTTGTCTCTGACATGGGAGTTACATCATTTTCTAAAGCTGCTTGTTCTCTTGAAAGTCTTCAGTTGGATGAGTGCCATGGGATCACACAGTGTGGTGTTTTCAGTGTTCTTACAAACTGCGGCGGGCAATTGAAATCCATTTCTTTGGGAAACTGTTTGGGAATCCGGGATGTCAACATTCGATTCCCAGACACTGCACCTTGTTATTCTCTCCGATCTGTGACTGTCCGTGGCTGCCCTGGATTCGGCAATGCTGGCTTGGCCATGCTTGGAAAACTCTGCCAGAATCTGACCCACCTGAATCTCATCGGCCTTGAGGGAGTAACTGTTTCCGGCATTCTACCTCTCTTACGGAAGTCGGATTCCGGCCTGAAGAAAGTGAATCTGAGCGGCTGTGTCAACGTGACTGATAACGTGGTTGGTGAAATTGCTGAGCTTCATGGTGAAACTTTGGAGGTTCTTAACCTGGACGGCTGCAGGCTCGTCACTGATCTGAGCTTGATGGCAATCGCAAGAAACTGCCCAATCCTCTCAGAATTAGATGTTTCCAAGTCTTTGGTAACCGATTCCGGAATTGCAGTTTTGGCTGGGGCCGAGCAGCTCAATTTACAGATATTATCCCTGTCTGGTTGCGCTTCATTGTCTGATAAGAGTTTCCCGTCCTTGGCCATTTTGGGCAACACTTTAGCCGGTTTGAACATCCAGAGCTGTTGCGGATTCAGCTCCGGCGCTATCCATTTGCTCTTCGAGCATCTCTGGAGATGCGACACACTTCATTAAGCAGAAAAATCTATCGAAGAAACCCCCTTCAAGAATTAAATTTGAAGGCATTAATTGAAGGGGGCGATGATCAGAAATTGCCGTGGTTTGGTTCAAGTACTCTTTTAGAAACTATAGTCGTAGTTTTTGGGTCCAATGCAAATGGGTCTTCTGCATTTCAGCCCTGGAGTCGTTTTTTTGTCCTGCTAACACAGCCACAGCCTTTTTTTGCAGCTCGCTGTTTGGGAATTATTTTTCCCGTTTATTTGTGGCTGTGCTTAGCTGCGACCCCATTCGACTACAGGTTCTTGATTTGCGGATTCTGTTTTAATTGGTTCTCTATCGTAATATGCTTCTGTTTGTGATTGATCGTTTATGTGAGCGAGCGTCTAAATACATGTGAGTCGGTCGGTCTGGTAATATAGGGTTTGTGTCGTTGTTTGGTGGTTGCTTTTGGCAGTTTCCGAGCCTGTTGTGTTTGCTCCGAGGGCTTTGGCGGTGGCCAGCCACGACGGCCTCTTTTGACGGGAGGCTGTTTTTTCATTTTTACCAAGCCCGGGTTTTGCAGGCTCGTTTCGAAGCTGTCGTATGCGACCTTGTTTATGTAATGAAAAATGGTGAAAACCTCTACTTTGTTATATATATATATATATATATGTAAGTTGTGTGAATGAATAAAAAGGGTGTCCTGTCCTACCTGTCTCTTTCTTTTAAATGTTTCTAATAAGAACTTTGAATGTGTGTATGCATGTATGTTTGTTTTGGTTTTTTGATTTTGCCTGCCTGTGGATGTCTGTTTCTTTCTTGTTCACAAAGTAATTGATGTTTCGTTGAATTTTGTACAGCAATTGAGAAAATGTTGTCCTAAAAAGTGCAGACAATGAGACTTTGAATTTTGGGAAAATCATCTTTAATATTATTATTATTTGGGTATTGGGTAAGTATTTTGACTGGTGTTTTGATGTTATTATGTTACTGTTTGGGTCAGCATTGAAATTGTCAATATTGTTAAATTATACACAATACTATATTTTTATGTGGAGTCTAATATACTATAAGAGAATTAGAATAAAATGGTGAATAGTTGTGCGACTGAGTTGATTTCTTGTGCAATAATAATAATAATAATTGAAATTAAATTTTAATGGATAAATTTATAATTTCATTGCAGTTTTGAATTTAGGATTCACTAATATTACTCTCCTCGTCCCATAACAAAAATATCTATTTTTCTATTTTAATCCTTTCATAACAAAGTATACAGAAATACCCAAATGTCCTTACAATTTACAATATATTACACAAATGTCATTACCTTTATATTACATGTACTAATAAGGTTATTTTAGTCATTTTTATTTTATTTCTACTATATTTCAATATAATACTAATATTTTTAAAATTACGTGTAAAGTTATTTTAGTCATTTTTATTTTATTTCTACTTATATTTCAATATAATACTAATATTTTTAAAATTACGTGTAAAAAACAAATAAATATTTTAGTTCCGGAACAGAGAGAGTAATGTTTTTCACCGAAAGAAACAGACAAGCCTTAACCAATATATGAAAGTATAAAAAAACAATACAACATGAAAATATAAAAAATATTAACTGCCAATAGTTAAATCTATGTTTTTTTTTTTTTTTTTTTTTGTCAAAAAGAATATTTTCTTAAAGTAAAAAATCATTATATTTTTATATATATTTTTTTTAACTATAAAATGAAAAAATAACCATTATTAATAAAGGTCGAGCAGGAAAACAATATCCTCAAAATCCTTTGTCTCACGTTCGCAAATTGAACTTTCAATCATGAACGTCCATTTGTTGATAAATTTCATCGGCGTATTTTCACCATAAGATATTTGGAATGTTATTATTATTTTTAAATAAAATAATTACTACATATATATTTCTATAGAAAATATATGTATATTATTAGAAGTTAAAAATATGTATGTACATGTATATATATTTTTTAATTTTTATGGAGAACAGAACCTTAATAATCAAATCTTAGACTTTAGCAAATTTGGAACCCAATATATATTAAAGTCAAATTTACAAAAAATTAATTATCTAATATTGCATTACCCCAAAGACAAAAATTTCAAATTAAAAAACAACCCGAACAATAGCGACTGCAGATTTTCATAATAATTGCCCCAAAACTTCGATATATATCTAAAAACGAAACAAAAGTTGAAGCACAACAGCTCTCAACAACATTGTAGTAAGCAAGTAGTAAATCACAGCATATCTCCAAATTGTCTGAATCTCCAGCAGATAACATCAGACATTGATCCTTTACTACTAACACACTGTCCTCAAGGATGCCGTCGTCGTCATCAATCTCTCCTCCTCATTGAACGTCGGCCTGATTCTCGACCAGCTCAGCTGCGTTATTACCCGCCGCCTCATCCGGTGGCGAATCAGACGCAATTGCAGCTTTATTACACATTTCCTCGTCCGGCGCCTCATGCTCGATTCCTTTCGAAGAAGTATTCACAGGTTTCTTCTTTTCATTCGAGAAGTTTGTGCTCTCAGACGGTAACTTAGGAAGAGATTTCCTCGCCGGTTTTTTAACATTGGCGACAGCTGGCGGCGGCGGCGGCGGCGCTTTTGTAAGATTTCCTCGTGATGCTTTCTCATCCAAACTTAGCCTTGCCACGCGAGCGTTGAGCGAACCGTTTTCGTTGGACTCAGCTTTAGGCGACGAACCCTTTTTTCGACCAAGCTTTGGAGATTTAGCTCGCGTTGTCGGAATCTGCTTCATGTAATAATAATGATTGATATTTGTAGAATTAGAGTAATGTAAGATTACAAATGTATTGCGGATCAAAAGAGAAACGGAACATCTTACACGACAGAGCAAGACATAGGGTGTATTAGGCTCCTTTCGTGAATTGTGTTTTGTAAGAATAAATAGTATCTTTTTACGATAATAGTCGCTTTGTCATCCAAATGTATGTTTACATTATTTTTTACGGTAAAAGATAAAAAGTAACAAAGTACTATCCACTTTTACTAAAATTCGTGTCCAAATATTTGAGCACATTTACATGACAAAAGGAGTACTATTTAACCAGTTCTCAATAAAAACACATTATTTTCTCACATAACATCATATCAAAATATTATAAAACCAAAGCCCACATAAGAAAAATTCAATTTCAAATGAAAACAAAACAAACTCCATATTGTATAGTAAAAAACATTGAAAAAAAAAATCTCGTCGAGCATCAAGATTTTACCTTTTTTAATTCGGCCTTAGGAGGCGGAGGCTCTTGATAGAAGCTCGGCAACGGCGTAGCTTTGAATGCCAAGCTTTTTCTCAACATTTTGATCTCAGCATCTTGTGTTTCCTATTTAACCAAAAAAATAAAATAAAATACGAATAAGACGACGCGACAAAAGTTTTAAACATGATATTAACATCATCTACCTTAGTCTTGGCTTGCATATTAGTCTTCTCCGCTTCCTTGGCCTGAATCTTTTCCTCGAGTTTCGAATAAAACTACTCGACAAGTCATAAACAATCCTCAGACGACAAAAATGAAAAATAGAAACATTCGGCATCATAAAATTGGAAACAAATGAATACAAACCTCTCTGCGCTTTTCAGCTCTCTCGTCGCATTTAAAGCTGAAATTATAGCTTGGAAGAGCGCCGATTCTTCGGGGCACCGCATCTCCAGCAGTGGGACTTCTAAGGAAATATTAAGAACAAACAAGGAACTTTATATTCGATATTGAGTATAAAAAGATAGTCACATTCGAATCGTGTACGCTAAAAAGGATACAATGAAGACTCCGAGAATTCGTCGACTTTGCTTGCGGCGCCTTTACCGCCGCTATCCAGCTTTCTCTTCTCTCTGCAATTGGTAAAAATCGAAGACAACACATTGCCGTAGGAAGGAAAGTGAAACTCGATTAGAGATTAAATTGAATATATATATATATATATATGATCGAATAGTTTTTTTATAGTAAAACATACGAGAGCTCTTCGATCTGTTCTCCACTTGCGGAAGACAGTGGCGCGTCGGAAAGTCCCTATCAGAAAGCAAACGATTTTAAACGATTCGCAAAAATAATTGCGGCAAAGATTTGTCGTATAAATGAGAAGCGCGGAATTTTTCCGGGTTTTTTTTACCTCAGGATTGTTTTGGACAGTCGCTCCTCTTACGTTGTTAGCCTTTTGTTTCTCATTCGATGACTTTCCTTTTGTCCTGACGGCGGGGAGACGTTTAGCATGAGATTCGGGAGCGGGATTGCCGTTTGAGGCACCGGAAGACGCCGTCGCCTCTTTCACGACTTTGGTCTTGCCCAAACCATGTCCGGTGCCGACAGGTTTCCCATTCTTAGTCCTGGACTTGGCATTCGCGGGCTTTGAATTCTTCGCATCATCGGTCTCTTTAACTCCAGATTCCTAATAAATGCATAAAGTTTTAGGACATTCTCCACATCATTGATTGATCGAAAAATGTTGAGTAATGTCTGATTCTTACAGTAGACTCAACGGTCTCTTCTGCAAAAACTTGGGCAGATTCTAGAGTTTCCGAATTGTTCAAGTTCGTCACCGGCTCCCCGAGATTCTCAGACATTTCTTCGACTTCCACGCAGCCATTAATGTTTCCATTTTCTTGTGAAGACATGGTTAGATTACTATCAAGATCAGCTCGATTTTCAGACACGGGAATAGAGCTATCGACATCCATTGCTCCCGATCGTATCTAACAACAAAAGACAGACATTGTCATTGGCCCGAAAAAGGCAACATTGTCTAAATGATAGCTTTTGAAGAACTAGAACAAACTTTACGACATTTATGTCTAAAGTAAGGCTGTTTTTAGCAAAATTCAGACAAGAACTAACCACAGAGAAATCATAAATCTTACATCAACCAAATGTTAGGACATTTTCGAAAGTTACAAATCGATTCTATTTCTTCCTACAATGCTGCACTGAATCGAATTTTGGAACAGTTAAGAAGAGAATCTCAATCATAATTCTATCTTCCCTAACCAAGATCTTCTCAAATCTGACCCTAAAATTTGAGAACCCTAATCTTATCTTATCAAATCTTACCCTATATCCCTTACAACATCGTAGAAGGAAGAAAGCAGCAAGAACAGTTACAGAAACCATGGAATTTAGTTCAGATTCAGAAACTCCATCGACAAAAATGACAGAAACTTTAGAGCACGAATTAGATCTCCACAAGATCCCATCCTTTTCCCCAATTCCAAGGCTCAGATTCAAAACCCCCATTTTCAGAAATCGTGAAATTATTACATCTAAGAGATGCAGATGCAGATTCGAGATTTTAACGTTGGGAAAGAAAGACGTACATTGTGAGGTCAGGAGGGCATTGTGTCCGAAGATCTGAGAAGTGATTGATTCTTCAATGGGGCTCGACTCGACTCGTTACTGCTGCTGCTGCTACTGCTACTGCTACTGCTACTGCTCAGCTCCTCCTCGACTTCAAATTGACCTCCTTCGAGTTTTGCTATTTATTTATTTATTTATTTTTGTCAGGAAATGAAATCCTCTCCAACTCACATTCACTTGCGGCTGATAATAATATTGGGCCATACAGTTTTTTGCATTACTTTTTTTTTTTTATTTCTTTGTCGAGTGAAATCTCAAGTGAGGGAAGCCCATACAAGAAAATATTTTAAATAATTATTACTATTATTATTATTATTATTATTACTCTCTCTCCTTCCTTCCCTCTTAGGTAAGATAAACGAATTGCTGTAAATTCGAAAATATATATGTAAATTCGAAAATATATATAAAGTATAATCAGTAGTAACTAAATTAAAAAGTGTATTAGTAAAAATAATTATAGATTAAGATTAAAAAAATTTAAATTTTAGAATATAATTAAAGTGTATAATCAATTTTTCAGAGAGAGAAAGAACAAATTACGAGAGACGCACAAAAATAGAAAATAAAAACAAATTATGTGGAACGGAGCGAGTATTATTAAGGGCGTGTTTTACGAATGATTCCATATAATAAATACGGCCTAATTGTGTATTTTCTTGTGTTTAGGGTCTGTTTGATCTTAACAAATTGGGCGGAAATAAAAATAAAAATAATTTTTGGATTTCATACTTTTAAAGAAAAATGCTTTGATTACAAACAACATAAATATAGTGTTACCCTACTTAATTATTAATTGATAAAAACATTTTAGATTGTGTTCATTTGTTGGATTATACAAAAATTTTCCATCCCATATTTATATATTTATTTTGCTTTTTACACAAAATTTTAGAAATATTAGTATTATATTGAAATAAATAGAAATAAAGGTAAAAAGATTAAATTAACCGGATAATGATATTTGTGTAATATATTGTAAATTGGAAGGGTATTTGCAATGTTAGGTAGGTAACCAAAATAGAAAAATAGATAGATTATTAAGGGACGGAGGGAGTATTATTCATCAATTTTTTTTTTATTCCTAAAACGTTAAATTAAATATCTATTTTTAATTTTTTTATATTATATTCACCCCGTCCCAAACACTATGCAATATTTCCAAAATAGGAAATAATTAATTATACTTAATCTCTACCCCACACTTTATCCTCTCACATCATCCAAATAAAAAAATAAAATATATATTTCTCTCTCCATCACATCACATAATTTTGAAATTATCCTACTTAATACTGCCCACCTAAAAACCCGTACCAAAAACAAATGTTGCACCTTGTTTGGGATGTAAGGAGTACAATAAATCAATTTTGCATTTAAAAGATCACATTAACACCTATTTATATCACATCACACCACTATTTCAATTCAAGATTTTTACTATTCAAATACAAATCAAAATCCAAACCCCAAACAAACGCACCACTTAACTATAATTTAGCTTATCTGTGAGAACATTGTATATGTATGGAATTTAATCAAACAAAATCCATTCACATTAGTTCTAAAATCAATGTAGTGCTAATTAAATTCGATTAATCAAATAGTGGAGATTAACACAAAAAAAATTAATAATTTTAAATTAAATCTAACAATATAATTCACCTTTGTTCACTTAATATTTTTAGGTGAATCGATTCTCATAAATATTATTTCAAAAAAATAAGAGTATAATACATGCATATTAATGCGATATCTATACTTTATTTACTTATAAAAAAAATTAATAATTCATTAAAAAATATTGTTTTTTTTATGTTGCCAATATAATTATTTACACCTAATATAAAAAATATATATTTATCCAAAAATACAAAGAGAACAAACCTTATTAATTGCTCTAAGCAATGCCAAGCCCTAAATAAAAAATTATATACTACTTCCTCCGACCCATAAATATTGTCTTAATTGAGTTGGACACGGGATTTAAAAAATATTGATATTATATTGGTAGTGGATAAAAAGTATGGATAAAAATTCTTTTTACTCTTGTGAGTGTATTAGTGTAAACAGTAGTGACAATTGTGTGATAAAAATGAAAAAATTAAGGGTAGTTTTACGGTGATATGGTTATTTATAAAAATAAGACTATTGTTTTAGAACGTACAAAAATGATAAATAAGACTACTGTATTAGTACGGCGAAAGTATATATTTACCTTAGGAAAATAGTTATTTACCATATGATATAATAACATACAATACGGTCATTTACAATTATATGATAAATATAAATTAACAATATATGATTATTATCCGCATATATTTCAACAAATAAAATGTGTTCATATAACAAAACAAATAACACAGCATATGTTGTGTTAATTGCAACTTTGTGCTAATCTAATAGATATGCATCCAAATTAACCAAGCCTTGGATTTTTCCAAAATTTTATAAAATAGGTTTAACAATAGATTTCTTATTTCTATCTTTCCTAAACAAATAAATAAACTTATATACATATTAATTTTTATTTTTTTTTTTATGTAAATTTATTTTGTATTAATTATACATAAATAAGTATATGTTTATATATATTATATAAAATTTTATTATCTACTAAAATGATATAATATATATTATTAAAATATATTTTCTAAAACATATGCATGCATATTTTCAATTTATTTTTTTTTTCAAATATACCCTAAATCATATTTTAATTAATAATTAAACAATATTCATTGGTAACGGTAAAATCTAACTTCCAATGGCTCGAGAGCCTCCTTGAGGTCTGTTTGTATGGTTTTGCACTTGATTTTCAAGCAACCAACATTTCACCATATTTCCATGCAAAAATATTGTCTTATTTTCGAATAAAAACAAAGTAGAGCTAGTAATCGATTACTTTAAAGACTACGAAAAATATTCACTTCAATACATATTTATCCGCGCATTGATAAAAAAGAACGACCATCGTCAATAATGTATTACTTTGCATTTTCGCGCGCTTCATTTCATCACCATTTACACATCTACGCTTACTCGTCTAGTTTCGACAAATGTAGTAGCTGTTTGAGAACATAACACATTGATCCTCACAAGACATACCTAAAAGGGGTGACAGAATGTAAAGAGAGAGCACCTTTATGTGTGTGTGTTCTTAGAGACGGGCGTCGCTTATTTTCTACGTGCGCGCAAACGATATCTGCAGAACATAACTTAGTATTCCCGTCTAGGCGAGCCCGTGCGCACTTTAGTGTGTCCCGTTCCTATCTTTTTTGCTCGCCAAAGGTAGACAACACAGCTTAGTATCACCAATCCTGCTGCACATCCAACAGCGATCCCTAGTGCTCTTTTGCTACCATTTTTGTTGTTCTTCAATGCATCGATGGATTTAGACACTGCATATGCTAAGGGGGGTAAGTGATCGTCGGTTTTATTATGTGTATAGTGATATATATACAAACAACACATTATTAACTATATATAAATACAGACGGCATATAGCTAACGAATGTTCAAATCTATACTCTAAAATAATTTAGAATATTTAGACAACTTTATACATATACATACAACTTTATTCAGCACTATATACGGATATAGATATCATAGTACAATTGTTCATAACTTCTCTGTGGTTTCAAATTTCAACATAAAATTTCCATATGCTTTAAAAATTGCATGGCGTCCCCTTATACTTTAAAAAACGTTACATCGAACCCCATCACCATAAAATCTCCCTTGTTTGATGAGAAAATGATTTTCTATCTATGTTTTTTTTGCATGGCGGGGAATTTCATGCAACAATTTTGAAAATATAAGGGCACCATGCAATTTTTAAAGTAAAGTGGACATTTACACTGAGTTTCAAAACCACATAGGGGTTTTCATGCAACATTTTTGAAAATATAAGGGAGCGCTATGTAATTTTTACAGTATAGGGGGATTTACGTTGAGTTTCGAAACCACAAGGAAATTATGGACAATTTTATTCAGCTATCACATAGCTAACATCGATTCAGGATTAGATTGTAAAATAATTTAGAATATTTAGACAACCTTATACCAGTATAGGGGCTCGAAACTAGGTACCTTGAGAAACATGGATGGCGGAGACGAGAGGGCCGTATGTGCTTTGGTGAGGGATGCAGCAGGTCCCCTTTCCCGCCCACGATAGATGAATGTCGATCACGGTGTTGCTGATATTCGCTTTGAATGTCTTGACCAAGGCTCGCTTCGATCCTTTCGCCTCGGCCATTATATTGAAATCTTGAAGCACCCTTTCACCCTTGATGGATTGCAAAAACAGATAATTTTATGCATATCGAGTAATTGAACTTCCGAGTTCGATTAGTCTATAATGTACCTGAATATAAACATCGAAGATGCGCCGACCAAGTCCTCTCCATGTGGCTGAATCCTCCACTTGTATCTCAGCAAAGTGAAGATCGATTTGATACACTCCATTTTCCAATCCGAGGCCATAATACCTCAAGGAGCTCGGCGATATCCTGGCAGTTTTATAGAGTTCAGAATCCAAAGTGTTTGTGATTTGTGAGTCGGTCTGCGCTATGTAGATCTGTCCATTGGGGTTGGAAATGTAGATTCCGTAGGTGCTTACGCCCCATTGATTGTCTGCGCTGATGAACAACGAGGCAGCTCCTACTGTTTCCGAATCATTGTCAAATTTAAGGCCGTCTGCAGACACATGCTCCGCGCCTCCGCTGTTGACAGAGAATGATGCTACGAGAAAATATATATATTTATATATGTACCATCAGTGCATGGATGTATAATTCTGCAGATCTTAGTGTTATTCGAAAACAAACTGAGCTTTTGGAATGGATTTTCAATAACTGAACTTACTGAATGGGTTTTTGATACTGCACTTCGTGCTACCTTCAAGGCAGCGCAACCTGGTCGACGCCTTCCTGAAACATTTTCGACTATACTTAGCAATGTACATAGGTTTCAGAATGTTCGAAAAAAATTTGTGCTGAGTCCTATGCTTTTCGGATCCCTTGACATATAAAGAATGCTATGAATAATGATGTTGAGATTATCAGATACTTTGTTAGTATAATGGATGTTTCGTTCTGACTTACTTGTTCTTCAGGTCGATGTTGTTGATGAATGTCCCGACAGCATTTCTGCATTCAAAGTAGATGTTGGAGCTTAAATATGTAAGGCTGTAGTTATTTTCCACTTTGTATAGCTAAAGTCGAATACTTACATTGCTATCTCTTTTCGATCTAGAGGAACATTGCCGGTGAGAGGATTGAATGAAATGTCTCTGTGAAGTAAAAGTTTGCAGTCGAAGAACATAAATCGTACAGCAAAAGGTAGGAATCATGAGTTTGGGGCTTACAAGGCAATCAGCGATGCGCCTAACAAGTCTGAGGTGAGATCCCCGGTTAGATCATTGCTTCCAAGATATCTAAAAACATGTCAACAAAATGCTTACATGGATAAAGATTGTAATGAGGTCGAAATGGATAGGAAGTAGAGTCCATCGATGGGGGGATCACTTACAGATATTGCAACGAAGCGAAATTTGCGAATGATGCTGGAATGCGACCGGTCAGGTTGTTGAAACTCAAGTCCCTGTCATGGATGAACTGTTCCATCATGAAATAAACTTGCAACGAGGGGCTTCGAACATAACTTTTAAGGTTCGAAATACATTTGTAGAACTGAAGAAGGGAAGCTCGATAAGATAGTTAACTTACAGGACTTTCAGGTTGGAGAAAGTACTAAGATAGTCGGGGATTTCATCACTTATTCGACAGCTTCTCAACGATCTGCGCTTGCAAGGGAAATCAAGGACATCAATATATATATATAATACAGAGACAAACATATGACTAGTCTAGGATGATCAAGTTTTTACAAAATGGATAGACTTGATAAATCTTCTAAGAAATCCAACGAGCTCTCACTTGGGCCGATATCGCCTATTCTTCTGCAATCGTAGAAAATCAAAAGGTTGAACATGATATGCATATAGATTTAAATTAATGATGTATAATATTTCATATTTAATTCCATGGAGTTTGGCAATCCGTACAGGTCGTCCAGCTTCTTTAGAGCTCCAAAGCTTCTAGGAATCGGGCCATCGAGGTTAGTTCCTTCCAGTCTCCTAAAATTAAATTGTAAACCATCAGTAAAGGCTGAAGAATGTTAACCATAAATCAGGAGTTTTGATGAAAAAGATTAGACTTTAAACATACAGAACTGTTAAAGCACCGAAACTTCCCAAGAATTCAGGAATCTTTCCAGTGAAACGATTATCCGATGCCCACCTGAAGCATAAATCTAGTTAACTGCGGAAACCAGGTATTCATGCTTAAAGAAGCAATAATCACAACTTGGACTTAAGAAAAGAGCCGATGAATACAGAGTTTTTAGTGACTTCAAATTCGATAGTTCTTGTGGAATCAGTCCACTAACGCCACTGCTATCTATGTACCTGAAAGATCAACAGAGGCTTCAACACAAATAAGATGCGTTTCGGATCCTGTCAGTATTATTCAAGTAACTTACATCTGCTGTAATGAGGTCAAGTTTGCAAGGCTAGCAGGTAATGTTCCATTGAAATTGTTTGAGCCAAAGCTTCTGTATCGAGAGGAAGTAAAAGATATGAGTCTTGGATTGTTGAGATGGGAATTCACAAAGTTCAATCAGTAGTCGAAAAAAACACAGCATAAAATAATTAGATAATTAGCTTACAAGGAGATGAGCTTGGTTAGATTACCAAGCTCAGATGGCACCGGTCCCGTGAAGTTGTTAATGCCCAAACCCCTGCATTTGTTTTCAGGTAAGACAGGAATGTACATCATATGTAAACACAAAACTAATTAGCATCTAGTCGAAAATTCGAAAAGCTTTTGTATATAGTGAAAAAAATACTAACAGGTATTCCATCTTCGACAACTGCCCGATAGCTGCCGGGATGGATCCACTCAACACATTCTGGTTCAAATTCCTATCACATAATAACATTGCAAAATTCAACCAATTGCTCAAAGATGTATCAGTACACATACATATATATACATATATATATATATAGAGAGAGAGAGAGAGAGTTGCTTACAAGTCCATCAATTCAGTGAGCAAAAACAGTTCTTGAGGAAGTTCACCGGAGATATCCAAAGCATATATTTTCCTGAGCAAATGTACGTATATGTGAACTTATCTCCACTCTTACATGTCACGATTAGCTGAAAATCAACAATCGAATAAACAAGAATAGAAGGAAGAGAGAAACTGACAAGTGAGTTATATGGCACACAATGTCTGAACAGGCGCAGGCAATCCGTGGATTAGCAGAGTCGGGAGCCCAACTGGCATTTCTGACGCAGGGATCAGAGCTTAAATTCACCTTACTTCTCAGGTTCCAGTGATCGATTATCTTGTTGATAGCATCAACTGATGATGAAAATCACCCAAATTAAATAAAATAAAACAAAAGGAAAAGGAAAACCCAATCATTAATCAACAGATGGTTATTGAGGCATTTCGTCGAACACCTTCAAGGGGTTCGGTTGTTGGCTGTGCAGTCAGAGTCCGGAGCATCCAAAGCGCAATCAAAGAGAAACCTAGAATCCCCATGGTCGATGACGATGAACACTCTTGCAGTTATCTCGACGAGTGGAAGGTACAGCCACAGGGCCTCCCCTCCGGCTAAAAAGTGTTGGATGTTTGGATGCATTGAAAAATAACAAGAGGATGAGGCCATGGCAATTGAATATGTTAATCGAAGATTTTGACCAGAATGGTGGTGAAGTATAATCCGTTGCATGAGATGAGATGATCATGAGATGCTGTCACCAATCCGCCATGGAAGCAGCCAAGATAGACTTTTTAGCTTTCTTTGGCACTATTATGCAAGCGCGTATACTTATTCTCAATATATATTACCTTAATATTAATTTGACAATAATTATGTATTTTGAAAAAAAAATTGATAAAAAATTATATAAATATTCTTATCTTAAGATTTAAATTTAATTTCGTTAAATTTAATAAAATTCCATTTTTTTAACTATAGAATTTATTAAAATTTGATAAAACGTAATTGATAAATAAAATAAAATAGTGATAAATTACTTATTATTCATTAAAATTAAAATAATAAAATTATTTACTAACAGGACAAAATGAGTGACATCATCTCGACGAAGTAAGATGACATTATTTTAAGTTTATTCCAAATTTTTTGAAATTTATTGACTTTAAATGAATTTAAGGAGGGTGTATTCATGTAAAATTTTGTAAGATTTTGTAGTATTTTAAAAAGTCAATGAATTTACATGGATTTAGAAATTCTACGGGGAGTTTGATGGATTTTATGCATTAATTTAAATAAATTTGATAAATTTTATGTATTGATTTAAGTAAATTTTTATAAATTTAATTAGATTATTTATGAATTTGTATAGATTTCTGTATGATCGTAAAATGTGTTATTTACTGATTTATATAATTTATATAAAATATATTTGTAGATAAAAAAAATTATATTCATTTTTATATATTTATCATAATACTTTTCGCTTATAATAATAATAATAATAATAATAATAATAATATATTTTAAGAATCTATTCAAATCTGTAATTATCAGCATAAATTTTATACTATACAATTTATACATACAACTTTCCTTTGAAATTCATATCCTTTTAAAGTTTATGAATGGTTAAATACAATCAAATTTTAAAAGGTTTTTAAAAGTGTGGATTGAATACTCCAAATTTTAAAAAGGCTTTTAAAAATTTGAATTGAATACCTCTCGATTTTAAAAATAAAAATAAAAATTCAATACACCCAAATTTTAAAAATCAAATAAAATTCTACAAAATCTTAATTGAGTGAACTCCATAAAATTCAATGTTTTAATTGCATATTTATATAAATGCGAGTGTTAGATGAAATGCCTGAAATTTGTTATTAATAACGTGTATTGGTGTGTTTGTTTCGGGAATTGGATTTTCAATCCACTATTTATCCCATTTTTTTCCTCAAAAATATCAAATCAAACACTTATTTTTCAATTTTTATATTATACTAAAAATTAATTTTACATTCAAAACATCGTATCAACGCCTATTTATGTCACATCATACAACTATTCAAATTCAAAATTTTTACTATTCAAATCTCAACTCAAAATCCAAACCCCAAACAAACACACCCTTACTAAACGATGATTTCATTGAATAAAATAAAATAAAACGTTTTAAATGAACGTATTAACTTATAAAAATATAAAAAAGATATTCGAATCCCCAGCCGGCGATGATAATGTGTATTTTAAGTAATGGACACTTTCCTTTCTTTTTCATGCAAAAATATATTTTTATATTATAATAAAATATATATATATATATAATACTAATTCTTAATATTATTCTATTGTAATAATTGTCTGATCAATCGACAAAAAATAAATTAACGTTGTAATTGAATATTAGGCCCATTTTTAATATATGTATTATGAGTAAGTTAAATTAAATGTCTTTTTCTTCTTCTTCTTTTTTTTTTTAATGTGTATTTTGAATATTATTACTCTCTCCGTCCCACGAGAAGGTTGCTATTGATTTTTTTGTGTGTGAATCTTTAAATATTAATTATGATATCAATATGTAGTATAGCTCAAGAAAAGAAAACAAAAATATGTTTATTAGTCTCTTATAATACATATACAATGATACTTGTTAGAATAAATTATTTAAATATAAGGATATTTTTAATATTAAGTACAATGACGCAAAAATCAAATGGCAATCTTCTTGCGTGACGGAGGGAGTATGATATTTTGTATGTTGTATGTTGCCGTTTTAAAATATTGAAATATTTTAGATATTCGATTTTAGATTTAGTTGATTTATATTTAAATTTGTTCTAATTCATAAATTAGATTAATTAGATTTGAATTTATCGAATTCGTTTTGAATAGCATATATATATCAATTTATTTTGATGATCAATAATATAATTTCATTATTTTCTTCCAAAATTTCTAACATAAAGTATCAGAGTTTATTTTCTCATGTCGTAAATATAACTTATCAATCCTCGTTTCTCCGGGTACATTCAACCTAGATTGTACTCGGAGGTTTTGTGATTTTAAGATCATGCTATCTGCTATCATGCGATCTGAAATCTATCTGCTTTATGACATATGTCCGCCGTATGTCTGTTGTCTGTGTGCGATCTGAAATTTATCTACTATCTGCCATATGTCCGTTGTCTTGTCTGTTAACTGCGTGCGATCTGAAATCTGTTTACGATCTGTCATCTGTCCGCTCCTTGTCTGTTGCCTGCGTGCAATAGGATATGACCAATGCGATTTGTTCTGCGATCTTTTCGATGTCTGCGATCTGTTCTATGATTTGTCTGGTATCTGCGATATATTTTGTGATCTTTCCGATTTTTGCGATGTGATATGTATATTGTCTTCTATCTATTATGTGATCTTTCCGATTTTTGCGATGTAATATGTCTGTTGTTTGCGATCTGTTTGGTGATCTGTCCGATGTTTGTTTGCGATATGTTCTACAATCTGTCCGATGTTTGCGATATGTTCTGCAATTTGTCCGATGTCTGCAATCTGATTGTTGTTTGTGATTTGTTCCATGCCTGCGATCTGTTTTGTGTGTTATCTGTTTGAGTTTGACTCTGATTCCATTCAGAGTCCTGTCGTTTTCGGCTTCAGTGGAGAATCATGTCATTTTCGGCTCCGGTGGAGAGTCAACTGTTTTCAACTCCAGTAAAGAGAATCGATTGTTATTTTTATTTGCGTTTTTTGCGTTGATATTCAACTTTCTTATCAAAGTCAAGTTGGTTTTTGTTATACCACTTGAGTTTGAGGGAGTGTTAAGATATTTTATTCGTTTTTAGATTCACTATATTTATATTTATATTCGGTCTTATCAATAGATTACATTACTTATATTTGAGTCTATGAGTCCGTTTTGTATTGTCTATATATAGATCATTTTATTTCGATGATCAATAACACAATTTTATTATTTTTCCCTATATATGCCATTTTATTTTGATGATGAATAAGATAATTTCATTATTTTCCTCTAAAAATTTTAACATAAGAAAATATGAAAAATTGCATAAAAAAAGCTTTGGCCTCTAAATTCTGTTTGTCACACATTATTCGTCTAATATAATTTGTTTTTCCGTCCTAATTTGTAGACTACTAAGTTTGACAAAAATTTACTTATAATATATTCGAAGAATAGCATTTACATCATTAATTATTTTTTTTTACCAATTTGCCCTTACATTCTCTGTTTAAATAGGAGAATTTTGAGAGATTTAAAATAGTAGAGAGTTAATCACAACCATTGAAATATTTTTTATTTTTGTTTCTTCTATAACAATTGACACATTTATATCTTCAATAAAATTACTATAGGGTGTGTTTGCTTGGGGGTTTGGATTTTGAGTTGGGATTTAAATAGTATAAACTTTGAATTGGAATAGTTGTATAATGTGATATAAATAGGTATTAATGTAATATTTTGAATATAGTACTGATTGTTAGTATAGTATTAAAAATAAAATTATAGATGTTTGTTTTTATATTTTTAGGGCGTGTTTGTTTGGGGTATTGAATTTTAATCCTACTATTCATCCAATTTTTTTCCCCCAAAAATATCAAATCAAACATCTATTTTTCATTTTTTATATTATACTAAAAATCAATTTTATATTCAAAACATCACATCAACACCTATTTATAGCACATCATACAACTATTCAAATTCAAAATTTTTACTATTCAAATCCCAACTCAAAATCCAAACCCCCAAACAAACACACCTTAAATGAAAACATATTTAATAAATATTAATCAACTTAATTAACTATCTAACATATAATAACATACATTATGTTTGGGTGTAATTTTTTTAACTCTAAAACCAAAATTCCTACAATTTGAACTTTTGTATTTTTTAAAAATAAAATAAATTCACAAAATATTTAATTGCAAATAAAAGTTTTTCAAAACCTATCAAAAGAAACACACCATTTGATTATGTTAATTATAAATAAATAAGAGTATTTTTTTATGTACTTGTATTACAAAAAAATTTGTTTTCTACAAAAATAATATCTATAATGTGTGTATTTTTTTATTGCAATATAGTAATTTTTAAAATGTTAGAATATATATTATAATTTTTTTTAATTATATATACAAAATTTATTTTAAACTATCGATATTATTTAATTACATAAAAAATAATAAAATAATATTACAATTTACTGTGTAAACTAAATAAATATTACTCCCTCCGTCCTACATGTTGTGTCTGCTACGCTGTAAACACAGTATTTTAGAAGGGGTGTAATTAGTAGATAATTAAGAATGTAATAATTATAAATTAAGATTAAAATAACTAATTAGTTTAATTAAAATTAAAAAAAAATAAATTAAAAAGTTTAGAATGAGATTAAAGTGTATAATCATTTTCCAAAAAAGAAAAGTGACATGGAACGTGGGACGGACATAAACGGCAACGTGGATATGGTATGCAGAACGGATAGAGTATTAACTTAAATACTGTATCATAGATCAATTATCTTGTACTGAAAAATATATTCTATCCGTTCCACCTAATTTATACTCTTTTTATTCACGTCCATCTAATTTATCATTTTTTTTGAAAATTTAATTATAAAATTTAAAACTTTTATTTTAATTAACAATTTACTCATCTTAATATTAATATATAATTATTTTTAATAATATATTTTTTAATTATTTATTAATCTACATTATCTAAAACTCTATGTCCCATACAGAGGTAATAGTAATAATTTTAAGTTTAGTATATGATAT